TGTGTATATGTATGTGCGGCTGCTTGTACTAGCCCAGACTTAAGCTGGTTTTATAGTGCTAGCCCACTGAGATACCATGCCGCAGTGCAGCATGAATACCCAACTCAGACACATTATACTGACTCCGAGCCGACCAGTCCTTGTTGTACCCATTAATGCCGAGCGCCAGGCAGGGACCAACATATACCATATTTTAACGTCTTTTGGTATGACGCAGTCGGGGATCGAACCCGCGACCTTCCGCTCTCCGGGCGGACGCTCTAACCACTACACCACGCAGGCGCTTACATAAGTAAAAGACTGCTTTCATCTCAACTGTGAGTTGACACACCGTGATAGAGCTGAAATACTGCCGAAAGTAAAGTTCATCCAAACGCACCCATTCCGAAAACAAACTCTCAACAACACACATATCTGAAGCTTCAGCCTTGGAATAAACACATTTCAATATTTAAGGTTTTTATTTTCTCAAAATGGAGTGAAGGGAGAAGGACAAATTGCACTGAATGAACTATATGGCACATTGCGGTATCTATAACGTGTATAAAATATAATGATAAATATGCATAATGATATGCTCAAGCATATATGCTCATGAATAAGCGTGCGTGTGAGCGTCAGTGCATGCTTTTTGGAACAATAACTTAAACATGTAGAAAGACTAGTAAAACATATATAAAATTGTAAAATAATGAATACATATATTGTTATTGCGTCTGATATGTTCAAATGTCTTCAAAATACCTCGCTCATCCACTCCCCACCCGCTCACTCACTCACTCACCCATCCACTCACTCACTCGCTCGCTGAAGGGCTGGCGAATGACACATGCCTATCGCGTAACACAGTGTAACACGGTCAAGAAACAGTCAATGTGTTCGAAATGAAATAAGTATCGAATCATGCCCAGAATGGAATACAACAATACAACTCCGTGAGACCTTCTGGATCACAATGGTGAAGTTCTTGAGCTGAAGACGAGGGCTTCCTGATGTCGGCCATCGCCAAAATAGTCTCAGCTGTAGGACACGAGTCACAAAGTGAATGACTGGATGTTTCAATACGCTTGAATGTACAAGTATGAGAACTAGGGTACCGTGGAACGTGTGACTAGACATTACTGTGCACATCCATAATCCCCACACATCGGGGGGTCGGAACTTCCGCCAGAACCGACTGGTTTTGAGTCTGTAGTGCGGCGGCTCGCACACGTGCAACCAGCATAGTAAGTGAACGTTTTTGGTTTGTATTTGTAAAAACCATTTTCACAGCCAGTTTTTTCTAAAACTCGGATTTGAGTGGAAACTCTCTCGCACTGGTTTTGGTTATTGTCAACGCACTTGTCACACTTACACACGGCCTCGGGGATGACGCTTGGGTATTGGCCGTTGTAGTTGGTGACGTTGTAGTACCAGGGACAGAGGGACCTCATCCACAGGGGGTCGTTAGGGTCGTCACTGACGTTGCCGGGACAGGTAATACTGTAGTTGTTGGTGTCTGTGTTCAGCTCTGTGTTATTGTACGGCCTGATGCCTTCCCGAGCAAGACGTAAGAAGACCAAGGTGTCATTGTTGGCGTTGAGACTTTGGAAGAGTTGGTTGATATCTTGAGGAGGTTGACAGTTGGCGTCGTTACGACGTAGTCTGATAACGTCGTCCGAGTTTGTAGCCAGCGGTAATGCTGACACAAGAGCTTGATAGACAAGAACTTGCGTTGCAATCAAAGACATCACCATCGTGGGAGAAGGACGATTCCTGTCTACGTTATAGGTGCGCTCTTATATAACTTGGGTGTTACAAAAAAAACTACCAACGTGGCATGCCCAAAATAGATGCGCTTTGAGGAAGAAATATGAAGTGTGCGTGGAACTATCACGTGACTGGAGTTCACACGCTGCGGCGAAGCGGCCTGTGGATCATGACAACTGTTGCTGTTTCCCAATACACTGTCCGCATGACTGGTGTATACTATATGTGTACAAAGGCCTCTTACCGGCCTGTATTGACCGTCAACATTGCAACAGTCAGTGTTGGTTCTGTCCTGATATGGCTGCGATTGCATAACTGTGGTACATGGTACATGTTGCAATACAGTAGTTGTTATTGCAGACACCGGGTTCTGTTTCTAGAATTAGTTCCATATGTTTAAGTTAGGTATAAAGTTCTGTTTCAATATGCAGCATTGTGAGGCTATTCACAGAAACAAACCATGGCTCTGTTGGATGTTATAAAGAGGTAACAGACTGGTATGATACCCTCGTATCTTGATATACATTGTACAAACACCTATATATCGTTGATATATATTGGACAAACACCTATATATCGTTGATATATATTGGACAAACACCTATATATCGTTGATATTTATTGGACAAACACATATATCGTTGATATATATTGGACAAACACCTATATATCGTTGATATATATTGGACAAACACTTATATATCGTTGATATATATTGGACAAACACCTACATATCGTTGATATTTATTGAACAGACACCTATATATCGTTGATATAAATGGGACAAAACATATATCGTTGACATATAACGGACAAACACCTATATATCGTTGATATATATTGTACAAACACCTTTATATCGTTGATATATATTGGACAAACACCTATATATCGTTGATGTATATTGGACAAACACTAATATATCGTTGATATATATTGGACAAACACCTATATATCGTTGATATATATTGGACAAACACCTATATATCGTTGATATATATTGGACAAACACTTATATATCGTTGATATATATTGGACAAACACCTATATATCGTTGATATATATTGGACAAACACCTATATATCGTTGATATATATTGGACAAACACTTATATATCGTTGATATATATTGGACAAACACCTATATATCGTTGATATTTATTGGACAAACACCTATATATCGTTGATATATATTGGACAAACACCTATATATCGTTTATATATATTGGACAAACACCTATATATCGTTGATATATATTGGACAAACACTTATATATCGTTGATATATATTGGACAAACACCTATATATCGTTGATATATATTGCACAAACACCTATATATCGTTGATATATATTGGACAAACACTTATATATCGTTGATATATATTGGACAAACACCTATATATCGTTGATATTTATTGAACAGACACCTATATATCGTTGATATAAATGGGACAAAACATATATCGTTGACATATAACGGACAAACACCTATATATCGTTGATATATATTGGACAAACACCTATATATCGTTGATATATATTGGACAAACACCTATATATCGTTGATGTATATTGGACAAACACTTATATATCGTTGATATATATTGGACAAACACCTATATATCGTTGATATATATTGGACAAACACCTATATATCGTTGCATGGATCCGGACACTAATATAGCATGGTATATATCTTACACCAATATATCATAATATTTGTTCTACGGACCCCATTATAACATTTTATATATTGTATAGCTACCAGTATATCATAATATATGTTCTATACGGAAACCAGTTTATCAGTTTATTCATCGTACAGCTACCAGTATATCATAATATTCATTCTACAGACACCAATATATTCTTTTAAATATCAGACAGCTACCAATATATCATGATATTTGTTCTACAGACACCAATATATTATTTTATATATCGTACAGCTACACACATCTCATCATATGTGTTTTGCAGACACCAACAAAATATTTGATACATCGGACAGGTACCAATATATCATGATGTTTGTTCTACGTACACCCTTATATCATTATATATATCATGCAGCTACCAATATATCATGATACAGATGCACCAACACCAATAAATCATGGTATGTATCCTGACGCCTTCATACGATGATGACCACAGCTCCTATCGACGAAGTGTTCGGTTCAGTTTGGCGCTGTTCGGTTCGGCGGTTAAACGTTTCTTCAGCGTCACAGATAAAACCTGAATTGTTAAATCTATGGAATCGTATAAATACCACTTAATAGACTCTTTCAGCGATATACAGCAAGCAACACGGTGTTCAAAGTGACGCTCTCTTTCCCAGTCTAAACATGGTCTTAAGTGATCGGTCACTCTTGGTCCGGGCTTTAACAAATAACATATACGTCACAGGTGTATCCAAAATAGCGTTAAATTCAATGGAATATCATTATATCTACCTAAATGGGACTTTATAGAGTCTCAAAGCCAAGTATTTTCAGCACGCACATTGCTCCAAGTGGAGGTCTCAATCCCACATTCCCAACATGGGATTTAACGTAGACTCTGGGATAAGGGTTTTAGCATGTGTATAGACATGCTTGTATGTTCCCTGAGTTAAGCTGAAGCAGTACATCTAAATCTCCACAGTGTTGTCAACACATATGACATAACAGCAGCTTGACTGTTATCAGCATGGCCATCACCATGACGACAGAGATCAGGATTGTTTGTTAACCACGGAAACAACCATTTGGGCGGATTGCAGCTTGGGGGAAAGGTCACATACTCGCATAATACTCTTTTTATTAGCGTTCGGTCCAACAACACAACTGATGTTTCGTGTCATGTATTTACATTTATATTTCATATCTATCTAAATACCACCTTTTAACGTCAGAGTAACAGATGAAGTCCTTCCCCCTCTACATCCCCACGCCCATGAAGACCCGGGTTAGAATTGATCTTCAGTATCACATGCATGTCGTAAGAAACGACTAACGGTTTCGGGTGGCCAGGCTTGCTGACTTGGTTGACACAATTACGTAGATCGATACTCATGTTGTTGATTACTGTGCAGGCGTAAAACTAAACTCACTCACTCACTACATCTACAACATGGCCTCAATTAAAATTGTTTAGCCTCTTAGTCTATCTGTTCGGTCATACTTGGTCCGGGCCGTCAAATGCAACATAAACGTCACAGATGAATTGTGTTTAAATCCATGGATGGGTATTGTATCTACTAGTTACCACTTTACAACACTGCACTTTGAGATTGTTTAAACAAAAACGTTCATCAAAGTGAAGCTTTTTTCCTATATTTTCAACACAGTCTCACAAGTGTTTTGTGTTAATATTCACGAAATGGAATACATTGACAGACAAAGCATTAACTGGAGCATGGAAATAATTGATGGGGAAAGGGGGTATTGAGGCGACACTTCTTGGGACTTCTTGGGATGGTATAACCCACAGTGGTGTGTAGGGGATGGGGGTGGTGAAGCGTGTAATACGATGGCGGTGGGATGAGACAGGGTGGTGGGGGTGGTGGTGGTGCGTGTAATACGATGGTGGTGGGATGGGACAGGATGGTGGTGGCGGTGCGTGTAATACGATGGTGGTGGGATGGGACAGGGTGGGGGTGGTGGCGGTGCGTGTAATACGATTGTGGTGGGATGGACAGGGTGGGAGTGGTGGCGGTGCGTGTAATACGATTGTGGTGTGATGGGACGGGGTGGTGTTGGTGGTGTTGGTGGTGCGTGTAATACGATTGTGGTGGTATGGGACAGGGTGGGGGTAGGGGTGGTGCGTGTAATACGATGGTGGTGGGATGGGACAGGGTTGTGGTGGTGGTGGTGCGTGTAATACGATGGTGGTGGGATGGGACAGGGTGGGAGTGGTGGTGGTGCGTGTAATACGATTGTGGTGGAATGGGACAGGGTGGGAGTGGTGGTGGTGCGTGTAATACGTTGTGGTGGGATGGGACAGGGTGGTGGTGGTGGTAGTGCGTGTAATATGATGGCGGTGGGATGGGACAGGGTGGGAGTGGTGGTGGTGCGTGTAATACGAGTGTGGTGGAATGGGACAGGGTGGGAGTGGTGGTGGTGCGTGTAATACGATGGTGGTGGTATGGGACAGGGTGGGTATTGGTGGTGGTGCGTGTAATACGATGGTGGTGGGATGGGACAGGGTGGGAGTGGTGGTGGTGCGTGTAATACGATGGTGGTGGTATGGGACAGGGTGGTGGTGGTGGTAGTGCGTGTAATACGATGGTGGTGGGATCGGACAGGGTGGTGGTGGTAGTAGTGCGTGTTATACGATGGTGGTGGGATGGGACAGGGTGGGAGTGGTGGTGGTGCGTGTAATACGATTGTGGTGGAATGGGACAGGGTGGGAGTGGTGGTGGTGCGTGTAATACGATTGTGGTGGTATGGGACAGGGTGGTGGTGGTGGTAGTGCGTGTAATACGATGGTGGTGGGATCGGACAGGGTAGGGGTGGTGGTGGTTCATTATACGATACGATGGTGGTATGGGAGGGTGGGGTGGTGGTGGTTCGTGTAATACGATGGTGGTGGTGGGATGGGACAGGGTGGTGGGGTGCGTTGTAATACGATGGTGGTGGGATGGGACAGGGTGGGGGTGGTGGTGGTGGTTCGTGTAATACGATGGTGGTGGGATGGGACAGGGTGGGGGTGGTGGGGGTGCGTGTAATACGATTGTGGTGGGATGGGACAGGGGTGGTGGTGGTGGTGGTGGTTCGTGTAATACGATGGCGGTGGGATGGGACAGGGTGGTGGTGGTGGTGGTGGTGCGTGTAATACGATTGTGGTGGGATGGGACAGGGTGGGGGTGGTGGTGGTGAGTGGTTCGTGTAATACGATGGCGGTGGGATGGGACAGGGTGGTGGTGGTGGTGCGTGTAATACGATGGTGGTGGGATGGGACAGGGTGGGGGTGGTGGTTTTGGTTCGTGTAATACGATGGCGG